TTTATAGAATGTCAAGTTTTTCGATTACCTGTTTTAGGTAGAATCAAACAAAACACTGGTGTTAAAAGAAGAATCAGCAGATCGTGTCTTGGCATTTCACAGTATAATTACATATGTCACATTATAGTTCCCATAGATAAAACATTCACAGCTAGAAGGAAGGCAGTACACCTGGACTAAGCCATCAACAGCATGAATACATGACAGCCGTAACACTACAACTAAGCCTTAACCCGTGGCACTATTTTAGGTGCATGGTTACCCAAAACCTCTTCTGTGAGTGCAAGCTTAAGGTAAACTACCAGTGCCTCTAAGAGCGCCACATGTGTGTTTATTTTTTTAGCGTTACCTAATCACTGTACCTCCATTTACAACAATATCTATAGTTATAAGCAAAATAGTACTAGAAAAAAGTCCCCAAATATGTGCTTTACAGAAAGAATGTTAAAGAGAAAACCCACAACAAATGTATAATACATACAAGATAAAGTGGATCATCTATGGAAATTGGTGGAAAAAACCTGCAGCAAAAGCAAATCTGCTGATCGTCCTAATCAGAGTGCTGGAAAAAAACAGGCATTATAGCCACGGGCAGTTCCTTTCCCCATGTTTGCTCCAGTTAGCTTAAATCGGCTCCATGGGCTGATGTACGTAGACCAGAGCAAACATCGATAGAGGTATTGTCCACAGCAAGCGAAATCTGGCTTCAAATAAAAACATGACTGGCTGTTTTGGGCAGCGATTTTACTTTTGAATAAAGGAAACATTTCCTGAGAGAAACATGGAAGCTGCCATTTCAGACATCTGTTAAAGCAGAACTTCAAGCAAAAAAAAAAGCTAAAAATGAAAGACCCATTAAAAGATCAAATAAGCCAGCTTTTGCTGAAATATTCACCTTCAATCCACAGATTTTTCCCTGCTATACTTTTTTTATACCACATCCCGGCCAGCATCATTCAACCAACTTCCTCTGGGCCCAGGTTGTCCTAGACCTAGACTCACCCCCCTGCCTGTGACTGGCCAGTGAAAGGTGGCTCTGTGGGCTGCTTTTTCCTCTCACACTCTGCAAGAGGCTGATACCAGGTCAAATTCAGGTCTTAACACTGCTTACATTAAAAAAAAAAAACATTTACTGATGTATTAACGAGAGCTGCACTTTATTGTGTCTTTTATATCGGCATAGAGTTTAGCTTTAATGCTACTTTCCTGGCTGTGATGCTGACCCTCTTGCTTCAGTACTTTGAGTCACTAATCCATAACTGATACCTATAAGGAGTTCTGACATTTGAATTTTCCTTATCTGCATGCTTGTTACAGGTCAGCAACACAGATGGTGCTTAAACTAATTGTTCGGTAGAATGGTAAAACATTTTAAAGAAAAAAATAATCATTGGCAGCCTTCAAGTTTCTACCAGGAAAAGTTCATTTAACTTAACATAAACCTATCCTGCAGTCTACCAGCACTGCAGAACAGTCTAATGATATATTTCAGAGCAGGAGACTGGATGCAGCAGGGGCCAAGCCTACTACATGACTCAGTCCTGTGAAGACAGTCATTTTATTTCTAACAAAGCCTACACACTCTAATCAGTGAATGCAGAAATGACTTGATGCAGAAAAGGCAATGTTTGCAATATATTCTATTCTACAGTCACTGTTATGGAAAATTAAGGTCACACTGTAACACTATTCCGGAATTGTGTTTAATGTTCCTATTAGGAAAGGATATTACACGCAATTTACAATTTGTTCACTTAGTTAATATTAATACACAGTATTAGTGTAAATAGATCATTAAAACCCACTACAAGATCTGTTATCACATGATTATCGAGTGAAAAATCATAAGCTTACAAATTTCATTTTAATTTTATATAAACATACATGAAGAGAATATAAAATAGATACTTTGCCTGGCCATGTAATACTGACATAGTGGACATCAACCTAACTTGTGTCAAGTCCAGCATAGAACGCAGCCAATGACAGTGATCCTTTTTAGCATTGTGTAAGGCTTCCAAATTAAAGTATATCATTTGGATACCCTAACTAATTTTGATCCCATGTTTAGCAGTGAAGTAAACCCTTTAACATTGACTAACTTCTAATGCTGATGAAATAATGGGAGAATATTTAAGACTGCCTCAGAAAGCATTTATGATGACATGGTATATTATTACAAATGCTGACCACAGCATAGTCATACTCATACTCGTCCAAATGCTCCAATACGTTCCCAAATACCGGAACTTCCAGTCAGAGGAAGTAGGGAAACATGGAGCCAGCTTCCCGGGCAATCAGGAAGTCGGGCGGCAAGTAATGGCCCGCCTCCCGGCTACCTGATTGGCTGGGAAGCAGGCTCCATGCGATTGGCTGGAAAGCCGGCTTCCCGGCCAATCAGCATCGAGGCGGTCGATTAGCCGGCTGAATGCTGATTGGCTGGGTAGCTGGCTTTCCAGCCAATCAGCTTGGAGCCAGCTTCCTGATTGTCCAGGAAGCCGACTCCATGCCAGTGGAAGTACCTGTATTGGTACTTGGTATCGGCGAGTACCGACAAAAAAATATCGGTACTCGATACCGGAAAACCGGTATCGTTGCATCCCTACTAAAAAGTATGGGTAAACAAAAATGTACTGAGTAACTTTCACGATAATTGTATTTGTATCAAAGTGCTAGGGCTAAGTAAATGAAGATGTGCATGTAGTGCCTACTGAAAGATAACTACAGGTGACATTTTTAATTAAAACAAAAACAAAAAAATCCACTTGTTGACAACTGCATCATTCATAACCATAGCATTTGTAGATAAGATGTCAATACTAAGACTGTTGGATCTCAGTACAACCAAACCCCGAATAATGATCAGCTTGTGGACCTGCACTGCAGTTTGCTTGCATAAATCAAACATTTTACTGAGCATTCTTCCCTACTAGGACATCTGGCATAATACAAGTTTAATTCAGGTTTTATACACTACCACCAGGGACATCTCTGTGCACGGGATGAATGCACACGTATGTGCATTCAGGGTGCACAAGACCTAAAAGGGAGCTGATGTGAGAATTTAGAGTGTAAAAGATCCAGTCCTGTAATGATATATCAGTTATGGGATCAGCACTGACGTGCCTCACTCCCTCAAAAAAGCAATAATCTGTCTGAAAAAAATCACTTAAAAATACAGCCTGCCATTAATAGTTGCAGAGTGTTTAGTAATCAAATGACTGGCAGATACTGGATCTCTTAATGTAATTGATCTGCAAGTGTTTCGCTGGCAAATGTGATGCAGTAATATACATTTGCTTTCAATACATCAAATACACATCTCCCTTTCCTTGTACACATACAGCCACATACAGTGTTGAATACATTCCAATAATATAAAAACCCTGCAAGCATCTGACAACCTTAGTGTTTTTAGAAAAAAAATACATGGATAGAAAATGGCTAAAAGGTGTCATAATACATAAAGCTTATACTGCTAAATAATTCATTGTAATAAAATGATTGGCCATGAGCTAGGAATTACCATCTTAAAGAAAGCTTTATCACTAATGCCAACACTAGGATCATCCCACAAACTAGCCTAGTGTACTAAAATGTAATATTTAGGGTAGCCTAAGAATGTAATGCCTTACATGTCTTAACAGGAGACCATGACCCTGACAACTCAGCAGTGTCAGGGTAGAATTTCCTTGTACATGCTTGCATTTTTGCTTAACTAGCTGTTTAGGCCAACTAAGTCCTGACATTCAACTCTTAAGGCTGGAAATATGAGAACTGAAATATTTAAGTGGGTAATGAATAGCTGAATCAGAAAAGGGTTACACAAAGCTATCGACAATGTGTAAACCCAAGTCAGTGCATATATTCAAGAGTAATACTGGCTCCACACTCCAGTATGTGTATTATACATACAAATGCCTGAGACGGTGTTGCCCTTTGCAATGATATTGCACTTGTTTTCTTTCAATAAAACGTATCCTCATGTGATTGGTTGCTGTGGGTCATAGTGCTTTCCTTCCACCGTCTATAAGCAGTGATCTATACAGCTCCACCTTAAGTGTAATAAACACTTGGGTCAGTTTGGCCATTTCCTAATTGATTGTTCCTTGACTATAAACTCAAAAAAATTACAGGTGAAGCAGTATCTAACGTTGGTCCATTGTAATAGACAAGGAATTGTACGTATGTTACCTGGGGTATTCTACCTACCGGAATGTGAGTAAAAACCCTCGAAGTGTAAAAGCTCAAGTTATTAAACAATTTTAAAATACAGATTACAACATAAAACAATTATACAATATTTACATTTACAATTTTAAAGCACTTCACATAGCAGCCTTGTTTCAAATCAAGGTTGCATGTGTAAAATACGAGAACACACAGCCCATCAATTCTGTCAACTCAATACGATAATTAGTCAACACTGAGAATATTCAAGTGATCACATTAAGCAGAATCTCCCAGTTAGCACTCCATTACAAAGACAGCAACTGCATTAGCTTGGCTGAGCTCAATAAGAATTGCGCAAAGTTTGCTGAAGTCTTTGCAATGTAAATAGCCGAGCTTGAGGAGTATTTTCCCAACAATTTGGGAGTTTCTTCTGATAGAAAAACCCCAGAGTACAAACATTACATTCAAAGCACTCTACCAGCACAGGGTGGAGATCTATGGCGAGGTGCTCACTGCCAATCAGATAAACGCACTTTCCAACAAACTATCATGCCTGACTCAGCATAAAAAGCAAAGCAGTTGCAACATACAGCAACCCTTAGCTATCACATTTACCAATCACTAGAAAGGTATCAGAACAAATACAGATAAATGCTTAAAGCCCTTACCTAAATAACAGTAACTGGATGATATACCTCTCTCACTGATTGGATGAGAGCACAACTGATCTCCACACAAAATGGAATACATTTTTCTTTTTAATGTGGAGTTTGCATGCTGTAGTTTTAATACCCACTAAAAATTACCAATTATCATCATCTATTTTCAAAATAGATAGGCTGCTATCACATATATTTGCTCCAGGAGCAAAATAGTGATCTCCCCAGGGCAGAGGTACCTGTACAGTTTTGACACAAAATAAAATAAGTTTACTCCATCATTGCAGAAACTAAACTTTGTAAACCTTCACAGTCATTTTACATTCACTTTGAAAAGAAAATGCCCTAAAGAACCTTGTAAAAATGTTTAAAAGAAGAACTTTGTTGACCATAGCAACCAAAACCATTTTCTGATCTGAACAGAAAGAGTGAAATGGAGAATCTAACTGGTTGCTCTACACAATGCACAGTTTTTTGACACTGATAAATGAGTTCCATTATATCTGAGATGGTAACAAAAACAGTAGAGAATTACAGTCCCAGCTTCTTCTTCTGCAGGAAATATGCATCAAATCTTGCCATAGCATATTCCTTAAAGAAAACAATGCAAAATGATTACTCAGACAATACATGTGTAAGATGGCCAATTCAACATTCTCAATAAGGTAGTTTCATATACTGTATTTAGTGTTTAAAGATATTCCCCTCCATCCCTGACACTGCCCAGAATTAACTATTATATATAAATCAAAGTAAAATATATAGCAAACACTCATCTTGCTCACTGTGCACACTCCACAATATAATAACTTCAAGTGTTGCAGCACCAGAGGTAGTTATGCACCTTCTATCCAAGACACCAAAGGGAGTATTTTCTTTTGGTACTTGACTAAAAAAGTGCTGTTTACTAAAGCTGGCCATACACTGCTCCATTTGTTTCGTTCCACCCGCAGGTTGAACAAGAAAAAAATAGAACAGATTCCTCCATCAATTCCTCAATCAAAGCGTGTTGATCGAGAAATCAATGTGGTTTCTGACCTATTAAAAAAATTGCCCCTCCCTATATAACCATATTATGAAGGCCGGGCTCCGCTAAGGTCTCATTGTAATGACAGTTCAGCGTCCCCTGGTTACCTGGTAACCAGAGAACGCTGAACTGTCATGAGAGCTCAGCGGAGCCGGCAGTGATATCACCGCCGGCTCCACGGAGCTCTCATTGTAATGACAGCAGGTCAAAGCCAATAGGAAACAGTTGGGTGGAGTTAGCTGTCACTGCTAGCTCCGCTCAATCGTTTTCTACTTTTTTTTTACTGTTTTTCTGATCTGCTCGGTACCAAGCAGAATAGCCGAGCCAAATGCCGATCTAGATGTTGGATCGGCTGGGTCGAACTCCTTCTGCACTTCGGGATGCTGAGCATGTTCGGCCGACCCGAAGCCAGCCGTAGCAAGCCGATTTACGGCTGATTTCAGTGGATGTACGGCTGAAATCAGCTGTACAAGCCTGAAGTGGATAGCCGAACAGCGTTCGGCTCTCTTCATTTCGGTTATTCACACAGCTGCCGAATGCAGCTGTGTGAATAACCCTGTAAGTGTTACACAATATCTGATTCCAAACATGAAATTCTGCAAATTGTACTATACATAGCCCTCAACTGTGTTCCCAAAAAGCAGAGGCAACTGTTCACATAGTTTAGTGCATGCTTAGGTAGTGTACATACAAAATAAATTACCCAAAAGGTATTACTCACCATATAACCAAATTCAATTGAAGAGATTTTTGCCTGTACAATAGACCAAAGGCCCCAGAAGAAATGTGATGCAAGAGCAAACCTAATTCACAAACAAATGGAAAGAGATGAATATATATTAGCAAATAATAGATAAAAAATCACAATAAAGAACACATGTATAATGAAGCCAGAGTTCTTGAAATGTCATGTACTGAAACTCAGTCTCGATATAATGTAGTAGTGGCACTGCAATCTAATGGCACCTTCACTCAAACCCACCATTGACATCAGTGGACTTCCCTTTGCTTCCCTCTATTTGTAGAGGCTGATTGACATATATGTTCATAGATGAAAGATTAAACGCATGTACCTTGGGATTTATTACTGAGAACTAACTTGAACGTATAATTAAGTTCAGCTTTAGTATTTCTAGGCAATCTCATTAGAATACTTGGATGGTAGGGCATAAATATGGTAACACTATTTTGGGAAATAAGATTCCAACAAACACTTCCATTAATTAACATATACAGAACCTGCACAAGAAAGGAACCAAGAATCCCACTGCTAATCCAGTGTCAAGCACTGCAGAGCCTTCTTAAAGCATATCACTTTAAACTGTCTGTCTCCCCAAGCCCTTGTCCACAGAACCCATGGTGTTCCAACAAGTAGCTTGAAACAGCTGCATTCAGTTAGGAATAAATTGCTCTAGAACATTAGGATGTACCCATGCTACGAAGCAGCAGTTCTTGATGCAGATTAGGCCAAGAGGGATAAAGAAATGGCTTGCATAAACCCTTTTGTTTTAGATTCATGGTCAGAGTGAAGACATGTATATTCCCTTTGTCTTAATAAGGTTTCGTTATACTTGGCACTGAATTGGTAAAATGTCTGAAGGGAATGTGTGCTTTGCCAATACAGGGCAAAGCAACAGGGTTACTTAACTACCCTCCCCTCCCCATCAGCACATATTCCACTTCCCTTTGTTCTTCTCATGCTGTTCAGCCAAGAAGGAGAAATACACTGTACTTCCAGGTATGAGAGCAGCGAGAGTCATCAGCCCTGTAAATGTTCCAAGCCAGGAATTAAAACTTACACAGGCATTCCTCTCTTCACTCCCAGTGGCCACACGGAGCAGAGGGGTAGTGAAGAAATGGAGAGTATGTGCTGTTGGGGCAGAGGGGGGAGATTAGGTAAACCTGTTGCATTGTAATGCATGAGCAATGCACACGTTCACTTACAGTACACTTCTTCATAACCTGTCAGGTTATAGGTACATCTTCATGACTATTTGCAAAACCTCTGAACTATTACAATTAATTTACTTTAATAAAGAACTGCTTTTGACACCCCAGCTAAATTGTGACACTGCTGTTAAGCAATATAGATTGGTCACAAATCCACCCCCTACCTGCTTACTGAACAATGAAAGGACATCAGATCTGGGAGGGTGTGGACTTGTCAAAAGGCAATTAGTTTTTGAGTTGTCTGAAATGTTAGTGGTTTGACAAATTGGGGTTGATTTACTAAAGACAAAGAGGCTCTTTATTTTAAAAGGGAATTTGCAAATGAATTTTCCCTTCACTTGGTGCATGTGGTAAACATTCACTTTGTGAAGAATATCCAATAATGTTCAAGGAAAAGTGTAGAAAAAAACAAAACCGTATTGTTGCTTGTACATGATTGGGTGACGGAAGTCAACAAAGCTTCATCTCATTCACAAAGGTAAAGGAAACTTCCCTAGCAAAGTGCAAATTCCCATGCGAAGTGAACAGCCTATTTGCCCTTAATAATTCAATCCAATTGACTTTAATTAAGTCTTGTAAAATAATGTACATAGTGGAGCAAAAGACCAGTGGTGGAATTTCATCATGGGGATCTCCCAAGAAGAACTGCATTGACGTTTTTTTTTACAGTAGTGATGCTCATAATTACTTTCAAAGCCAAATCATTAGTTTTGCATGCAATGCTTTATTTTAATTAACCTCCTGCCGTCCGCCCATTAAGAAAAACTACTCATGTTACTAAAGCATTACAAAGATATTTAGGGCTTAAAAAATAATATGTCCATGAAGTTTAAACTCATACTCCAATATTTTTGGCCTAGAGGAAGACAAAACAAAAAACTCAGGCAACTATAACTAAATTTGCAATTCCTTTCTGAGAGGAAATAATTCCTTTCTCACCTTACAAGGCCTTGTGTACTTAATGTTTGAATGGAAGCACCATAAATATTCAGAAGAATATGAACTTTTTGCACTTATCTCAAATATATAAGAAACAAGTCTGTCTATAAAGGGAAATATTTATTTGACATGGAATGACTTAAAGTTCACATTGATGTTGGTTGAAAAAGACCATCTAGCTCCCATTTCTTGAAGGATCTATTTGGCTCACGCCATGGGTAGAGTGAAAAGGGATTGGTATTTGAGAGGTATGCGCAGTACATGAGAGACTGTGCCCAGTTGAGGTTACCCTTCATTAAAAGAAATACTAAGTTGCAGTGCAAAGAAAAAAAAACTTCACTAACCTGTTAATTTCAGTTAACATTGCATTCTCTATTTTACTTCTCTCTTCATTGCTCAAGTTTTCAAACCCAGGCTGAAACTCTGCCATGTAGCTAGAAATGAAGTGAAGCTGAAAGACAAAAGAACACCAAATGGCTGTTAGACACTTGACTCAGGAACTATTCAGACAAGCAAGAGCTGTCAGCTGTCACCATGTCCTGTTACATAGGCTGCACACTATGACTGGTATTTTCATGGAACAGCTGTAGGTCCACTTGGACATTATTGTCTGATAAAACAGAGCCAGAGCTCAATATAGAACAATATTTTCCTTGATATGACGAGAGATCTAACGTTTGGCCTCTCTCCAAATTATAAAAGAACACTCTGTTAATGGTATCAGTGGTCTGAACACAAGAATGGTGAGAAGTGTGTGGCTTACAGTTTACCGTATTTATATTATTATATTATATTATGGTAATACCTGTTGTTTCTTTGTGGGATATTTTGAGAAATTGGCTTTGAAAAATGGAAACTTCTCATAGGTGTAATCATACATCCATTCACAGAAGTGATTACCGATATCAAAACCCCTGGAGAAACAAAATTAAACATATTAAGCGACAACTTGTAGAACAAATATGATATAGATCAATGTTAGATTTGAGGTTGTGTTCATAGACACCAACTGTAATAACAGATCAACAGCTGCAGGTTTATAAATTTGCTGATCACAGCATGTTAACAGTATGTAATCCTTTCAAGAGGACAAATATGCATATCTGTAATCTGATCTGCATATACATCCCTGTGTCCTGCACAACAGATGATCACAAACTAAGCGGCTTAGACAGAGCCTACCTTTAACTTTAGATCATTAGAAACTGATTTGAATGGGTCTTTGTATGCTGCAAAGCACTACTATATACTATACTGAATAGTACTATATAAATACAGGAAATAAACACATTGTCTAATACTACATGATAGAGTGCTAAGGTTTTTTCAATTCAACATAGGTTTGTTCAAATTGAATCAAATGTGCCAGATGTATCAAAACATCTCTCATTAAAATCTAAGGGACAGAACCTAAGTTTTCATTTCCATGTTTACACTGAGAGCGTGCCTTGAATCAGAGTTCAGCTGAGTCCTACAGTTAACTTTTATCTAAAATGGTGGAATTTCAATAAACCACTTTCCACTATTGACCATTGTGCAGGCCAGAAGTGCCGGCACTTTTTCCCTGATATTTCACTGATATTAAATGCACACAAATCCACTCTAATTATAGCTATGCTGGATCTTAGCAAAGCCTACTTTAGCAAAGCCTACTAATCAAGAAAACCACACAAGGAAAAAAAAATAAGAAATACAGTTATACTTTAATAATGTCAGGTTAAAAAACATCCTTTTAAAAATATATATCACGTTTTAGGCAAATGGTGCTTCTTAGGGCTCAGTCACATTCCCCAAATATAAAGTAAAAGTTTATGTAAACCCTAACAATGAACTTCTCTTAACTGCTGTACAATATGCCACTTTTGTTAGATCTGTGTGAATAGTGCGGAATATACTCATTGATTGTGCCAGAAATCCAATGAGCTGACAGCATACTGTGCTCTCTTCAGTGTTATCAGCCCTGACCAACTCATCACTAATATATTGAGCACCACCCTCTATGTAAAGAAGATAAGAAGGGGCAGATTTCTGTAGTCCTAACATTTCCAGTCTTAGGGTGACAACACTTCTCCTCCATGGATACAATACACAGACTGAGCATTTTCACCCTGTGTTACTAGAAGGATCACCAGGTGAAAATATAAAACAAAAAAAGCCTAAAAAAAAGAAAAGTTATGTATCCGGGACAGCGAAGAACTTGTAAGCTTCAATATACTGTATATTTAGGTTCTTGGGTTTAAAGTATGCATTTGAGTTCATACAGTGAGAGCATTATCATTGTTTTTTTATTTGCATATTGAGTTAATAATAAAGAAAATATACTTACCTGATCGTCGATCCCACCTGGCTGCTAGACCGGTCCACGGTGGTCTAAGCCCTGCTAACATCATCACATCTATGCAAGGTCCTTTCACTTGAATTAGATGTGAGGACGCAGAGGGACGTACCACAACCAGAGAGGAGGGGGAGAGAGGTGAGAGGAGAGGTCACCGCCCCAGGATCAAGGATCGGGTGAGTATATCTTCTTTATTCTGTTCCCTAGAACAAAACAAGCAGTTAAACCTTGCAGTGTGGGAGTAGCCTCAGTGCAAGGGTTAACATTTGAATATCCTGGAGATCTGCTTTAATGAAAGCAAGACTAAGGCAGTAACCAAATTGTGTGACATGCCAACACATTTACATCTTTACAGATGCTACTAATGCACGCATTATATGATACCTTACCTGTAATTGTAGCTGCTGTATTCAAAGTCAATAAGCATGAGCTTCTGTTTTTCAGAATTTTCTCTTCCCTCCAGTAACAGGATGTTACCTGCATGGATAAGCAAGGCATAGCATTCTTCAATAGGTCACAATGAACAATTACCTTGGATTATGAAGTTTTAATTAGCAAAGTTAGCTAGGGCCATTCGTAGAAGTGACCTGATTGTTGCAATGTAGTGGTTAACATTCTGCAGCAATCAGAAAGGCTTGTTAAAACACAATATGATGGAAAATCTGAAAATAGAAAAGAAAACCTTCCATTTTGAATGAGCATGAATGTACACTACTCAGGGCTTGTACACACCAGCAGCTGTGCTCAACTGCATAGCTGTGGTGTGCGTGTGCCCAGACAGTGCCAATGCACTCAACTGAGCTGCATCGCATGGTTTCATTTTTGTTAGAACTTCATTGAAATGTCACAAGTGACATTTCATTAAGTTCTATGGGCACATACTTTGCAGTCGTGTGAACTATGCCCACCCACCCACGACAAGGCAAATTGCCTTGTCTTGCATTCGGGATACTCGAAAACAACGACCAGCACAGTCCAAACGCATGTGATGTGAACAGGTCTTCACTGTTTTTGGGGTTTTTGTTTTCACTGTTTTGGAGGCTATTCACAAAAACAAATTCTGGAAAAAGCCAGGACTTGCATTGTGCAATGCTGCATTCATGATTTATGAATTATTGATATATTTAATTGTCAGCAACTTACCTTCCTGACAGTCATTGTGGCAGAACACAACAGGTGATGGGGTTGATTCCAGCAGAGACCTAATAAATAGAAACATTGATGATCATACTGACAATATGTCCTCACTGATTTAGGGAAATACAATTATGCTGAATACATTCTCAGGGATATTTATCCATTAAAACAGTTACATTTTCTCCTGTACAACGACTCATCACCAAACATGCACATAATCTTCCTCTTCCAGCAAGTTTTCAGCAAATATTATTTTAAGCAGACAGACCTAAATCACAAGGGATTTAGTGCATTTATACTTATAAGGGTCCACACCCCTATAAGTATAAATTATAGGGGTTCCCTAATTTTGGAATATACTTGCCCCTAAAACAGCTCTTTCAGGCTGGATTCACACCCTGGCGTAGCATAGGCACGTTTGTATTGCTCGTTTTTTAGCACGTTTTTCCGTTCAGTGAAACGCGTGTTTCACTTGCGCTATGATTTTTATTTTCCTAATTTTCTCTATATTTTTTAAATTTTCTTTTTTTTAACTTTCAAACTTTCCGCTGGCTCTGCCCCCATGCGACGCGGCCGCTCGCAAGGGACGGAACCCGGAAGCCGCCGGAGGACACAGCGGGGATCGCGGACAAGGTAAGTCCAACGCTGTATTCCCAAGTGTGGCTCGGGGTCACCACTTTGTTAACACCGAGCTACACTCGGGAATACCAATGGAAACGCGCGGAAAAACGTAGCAAAGAAGCTCCTGTACTTGTTTGGGCATAGGGCGTTTTTCAGCGCGTTTCCACGGGCTGAAATACGCCCAGGTGGGAACCATGCCCATAGGGAAGTATGAGATTTCACTGTTTGAGCGTTTTTCAGCGCTTCGATCAGCGCTGAAAAACGCCCAGGTGTAAAGCCGGCCTCAGTTGTTGTGTGGCCTGCCTGTTTCCACACAGTAACTTTTTAAAACCTCCTCACTCTTTCACCTCATTTACAAACACATGTACAGCCTGAAATGTGGGCCATACACGCAATGGGGATGAGGTAAATGAGTGGAAAGACTGAAAACATTTGGGTTTGAAGAGGGGGCTCACAAGAGGAATAAAGCACCCATCTCTGAATATTTTTATTGTCCCGGTTTGCCCTCCATCTACCTGCTCACACGTGGTTACAGAATCATTTTTGCAAATCAGCAAACTGCTGCTTACTACTAACATTTTAGACCCAAAATACACTTAAAATATCATATTTTGGTACCCACAAGTACATTTTCATGCCTAAACAGGACGGTCAGAGACAATGTTTTTTTTTTAAATCTGTCTATTACATATTCATGCAAGCATAGGAACGCTCAAGCCGTGGCCTCCTCAGAAAACACTATCGGGTCTATTCACTAACACTGTTTGGCTATTCACTTCAGGCTTGTACGGCTGATTTCAGGTCCCTCGGTCCCTCAGAGGGACCGAGCAGAACAGAAAAATAGTTAAAAAAGTAAATAGAAAACGATTGTGACCTTCTTACCTCAGGGTGCCCATTTCTTTGGAGAGATTGTAGCTTAAAAGCGTATTGAATTTCCGTATATGAGATTCTCTAGTAAATTTGATTTTCAAGACTTGCTTTAAGTACCTAAAGAAAAAGTCATGTAAATGAGCACACCATGTCAAATTAATTGTAATCACATTTTAAGGTATATGGCTAAACTCTATAAATCCAAATCTCTATAAATCTATAAATACAAATACAAAACACATCAAAACTGCACAAACTGCACATAGGCTTGCCCCAACGGCAATACAAGTGCCTCATTGCAGAAGGGGGAGCAGTATGCTTAAATTTTTATTGAAGTATTTGCAAAAAGGAGCTTGATGATTTCTTCAGCATTCTGGTGGTCTGGAATGAAATACAGAAGGCAAGAAAGTATGCCCTGGTACATTGTGCATGCTGGCTTACACTCAGATTTCTTAAGGCTTGAAATTAGGCTCATTTGACAAGTCCTGCTTTCGATCGACATTCTTCTGTCAGTTTTTATAGTCTTAAATTGAATAGAGCATTACAATTACTATTACTCTTCTAGTGTAGGTTGAGGGTAAGCATTACTTGCCTTTACCCTACACTAATAAATTCTTGACTTTCATTTCCACCCTATACAAATTACCCCCTCTTCCAATGGTACCCCATCCCGTTTCCACCACTTCCACAGGAAATAATTTCCCACGTGCTAAAGAAACGTCAACTACGAGAATAGTTTTTTAACTCCTTACCTCCATAGGTCATTCTTATACCCTATACTATTAATTGTTTAATTGAGTTACTTACCCTATATATTATTTTATTTGAATTCATTATCCAAATATCATTCAAACTTGTTTTGTATGACTGTTGTGTCAGCTACATTGTATGAGATACTCATACACTCTGTTACTGTTTCTTATTTAACAAAAACTCAATAAAATATTTTGTGAACGAAATTGCTTGAACTGATCAACAGAAAATGTGGTATCTATCGGCAGATCTATTGCTAGTGAAATTTTGCATAGTGATCAAAAAAAAAAATGCATATAAATGCAAGAGATAACACAATGAGGGGGATTTATCAAAACTGGAGAAGACAAAATCTGGAGCAGTTGCCCTTGGCAACCAATCAAAATCTCTCTTCAGTTTGCTCAGGTAAGATTTGAAAATGAGACAGAGAAGCTGATTGGTTGCAGTGCTCCAGATTTGGTCTGCTCCAGTTTTGATAAATTCCCCTTAATGTGTTTTAATAAAATAGAAAAAGGAACAGAAATATAAACCTACTTCTCCATTGTCCCAAAAAGCCACTTGGGTTCCTTGTTGGATGGCATGCTCATGTCATGAAAACGAGCCATTTTCTCTGCTATTTCAGAAGATAAATCTGGGAAACTTAGCTCCTCGGTCTCAAGCTTTCGACTCTATAAAAAGGAGGATATTTTTTATTACTAAAAAGATAGCAGTCATATTTGTTTAATGTTAGGTCAGATTTGGTGTTAACATTTTCTTAACAGTTTGTTATTTACGTAAAGGTTATGCTCTAACAATACTCTCAATAAACAGTCTCATTCCACCCACAAATTGCTGTTATGTTAAACTTTAACTTAGACTAAAATCTCAAACCTTTGTCTTTATAGTTTTAGTTATGCTATTGCTTTTATTACTTCACTTTCTGCTTTTTAGCCTCTAAGAAACAAACTAATGTTGCTATTCCTGTCTATAACATCCCTCCCTTTCTTTTATATACATTTCAAATCTATTACATGCCAAAACCACAAGGCTCCCTACAGAAAACTAAACTGGGAAGCCACAGACCAATCACAGCTTTGGACACAAGCCTAGACATGTTTATTAAGCTGCTAAGCAAGTGTTTACTATGCATCCTTCTTAAGCTTGCCTATCACAATCAGGCACCCTCTATTCCAAGTTGCTAAAGTCAATAGCAGGACCATTTTTTAATAAGCTAGACAAATAACCAATGACTGCTCTTCTTGCCTTTGATGAGGGACATTTGGAATCCTGACGGTATGGAGAATGTCAGATTTTCCAAGTATTGATAAAACAACTGGGCTTCTCCTGAACAACAGTTGCACACTACCTGTTGGCAAGCCCTTGGGTAAAAAGTTGGAGTACAAAAAAAAAATTTGAGCGCCAAGGAAGAATAAAGTAATGGGGCAGTTATGTCTAAAAGCACTCTCCTTGGAACCCAATTTTCTTTACTACTCAGACTTCTATTAAATTATATAATAGTTACAAATGTAATTTAATAGTATAGCAGCCTTGCGACAAGAGTTCAGGGTTTTGTTTGTCCTAAAATCCAGAGATTTTGGCAAAGGGCTTACAATGTATCTAAACCCAAAATCAAAAATATAATATATTGCAGTCCTTAGTTGTGGTGCCTGCATTAGTCTTCTTTTTTCAGGCTTATTTCCCTTATTTTACCTGATAATTCTTTATATAACGCACTTTCTGTCCCTGGGGGGCTGAGTTAACTCCTCCGATGTATCTATAAAGGGAACCATGTTTGCCACCCAGGCTGGACTTTTTTTGTCTTCATTAAATGGGGAATGACGGCATTAGTAGTTTAAACAAATAAGATAGATATTGTCATATACAGCTACACATATAAAGATATTTATGCTGTTATATGGTTGTGGACTTTTTAGGTGCATGTGCCTTTAAGACCAATATAAAATAAAGTTGAGGGAAGGCTGGTGTCGCTGGAGTGCGCCTAGCTTGTTTGTTTATTATAAGTATTTTCTGTACCAACTAAAAAATGTTCCCGGCCTAAAAAAGAAAACTAATGCAGCCTTTATATCTAAAATCTGGTAATCTGCAGTATATTTTGTTTTGCTCTTGGGTTTAGTTATGCTTTGCCGTTTTATTATTGCCTATCTGAAAGAAAGAAAAAATAAAGGTTGCGAGTGAAATAGCATCATTATCACATATACTTCTACTTCCACTAGTTTCAGCATTTACTATTTATATTTGCATCAACAGACATATTATTACAGCGGGCAAACAAATTCTATGCCAGTGTTTCTAGCCAACCATTTGGATGATTTAGCTTGGACAAAAATGTGAAGGTGTTGCCAAAAGCTGACCACCATTTTAAACTATGCAACAGTGAAGAAGAGATGTTGCATCTGGGTTGTTCTATGGGCACACATTTCCTTATAAATTTGATACATCAGGTTAAATGTAAAATAAGTGCTAGAATAGTTTAAAGCAGAATTGTATGCTTTATGCATTTATCTGCTTATATACTTCGAAATGTAGTAAAAGTCTACCGATATCACTTCATGTATTTAGCATAGCTTAAAATAAATCTCCACCACTACATGGGGTTATGTGTGATGCTATGAAGTATGGTGTCATACAATTGACATTTAATTGCCCAGTTTTCAGATTCCACTCCTAATTAAACCAAATAGCTCCTATTCAGCCAGTTTTTGGCACTTGTTCACTAGAGTCAAAAGCAAATGGCAGTTACATAATTGCTCATTTCACCATTTTATACTACTGAATCATACAATGCAAGCCGCCAAACAAATTCTGTCTGTATTTACCGGAATGAATTCTTCAAGGCGTCCCTGTGGAAAGATCCCATACAGCTTGGGACCAAGGGATCTCTCTGCCAAGATTGCAAACATGACACTCTCCATTACCATGGCCGCAGCACCCTGTGAAGAAGAGATTTAAGAATACAACAATACTGATAAACAGAATGAACACAAACATAGAAAAGGGATTTGACAGCCTCACGACTAAACAAGGCCACATGCTTTAGCAGTAAACTAGGTTAAAGTAAAGTCACAGATGTGCCAGGTTAACTGCATGCAGACAGTAGACTTAATCAATGAAGCATCTAGTCTGCTTATCTTAATCCAGACAGCAAGAGAGTGGCCCATTAAAGAAAACTTGGCAGACAAGTCGCTTAATGATGCAGGAGGTATTTACCCTTATGCTTGCAGGCAGGTTACCTGGAGATAAAGTATGTTCTCTAATCAGCATTATATACTCAGCATACACAACACACAGTTTAGAAATAACCCTCAAAACTGGGAAGTTGATGCAGATACATAGAAGTGTGTATTAATCTAAGATATTTGTGTTTACAGAGGGTAATGTTATTCATCACAGACACAGACAACATGCAGAGTGATAAAGATTTAGGATAAATAAAACACGCCTAACTGGTTGTAACTTTTGTTGATATGCTATCTATTGATCAGCAAAGATTTCTCCTTGTAAACCCTCAATGGGAAGGTAAAAGAACACAGCTCAAGGAAGGTAAAGTATTTCTCTACGGAAAACTTTCTTTTTTAGTTGTGGATAGAATGTCAAGTTTTTATTGCAGGCTGTGTCCCCACTGGGGAACTTCACCCCTTTATTAATGAAAGGGAGAATCTAAAACTTTAGAGTTGTCTCCAGAAAAGGAGGTAGGGGGAATCTTCCAATGGGGATACCTGGTCTGGGGACAACTGTCTAATGCTGGCCATACACTATCCAAATCTAAGGGCTAGTAAACTACAATATATTAAATGTTGTTTTTTGGGTTTGGATAGAAACTACGCATCCCCACACTGGGCAGAAGTTAAGAACACAGGATGGGTGTCCCCATTCATGGCAGTTCTTCCTGTCTGTCACAAACTACAAGAGATAAATAATAAAATGATATGGGAAACAGTCTTGAGGTTAGCCTTATTTATACAGCAAATAACACAGTAATGTATCCAGTGTGAGAAAAACTGCAGGAAGAATTCCATTTACCCAAAATGGGTTCAATGACCATGAGATTCAGAATGCCAAGCCTTCAGATGTAAACATGCAGAGTATTTTCTCTTCATTCAATACCAGAATTCCTGTTTCTTTGTATACCAGGGAAAGCTTGTTACAATGAAAATACAATTTTAAATCTAGACATGTCTTTGAACCTGTTGTTTACTCAAAATCCATATCTGCCTACCGGTCAATGGAGTAGCAACTCTACAGCTGTATAGACATGTTTATGCGTGTCCCATTCACTTTCTTTTTACCTTCACCAAGTAAGGTCACAGATAGGTGATCTCTCTTTAATATCTTGCTGCACATAGGTAGTGGCTTGACATTTTGGCTGGTCTTCCAAATAAAGTGCATTCTACATTCCACAAAGAGGTTATGCGATTTGTTTATTAAACAGCCAATATACATTTATGTTTAAAAACTGAAAAGCTAATTTGTAGAATTCTATACTTTTCTCATACTGGAATTTGCCATTTGTATGACAGGCTAGAGTCTCTTCCCATCGATTCTTGGCAATAACTACTTATATATACACAATTGGTGAAATTTACCAAGTCAAGAAAAAGCCTGCATAAAAATAACATATTTCCATGTGTTTCCTAGCATCCAGGGCATTGTGCCAAAGATTGATGAAGCCTAAGTGAACATAGGGTCTAGGTTAAAAGAAAAACACAGGAACCGTTACTGCATAATGAATTCAAGAAAAGTAATGCATATGAACCTAAATCAACTGTATCACATGCATAATGCAACTCACATGACTGGGTAGGAGCATAAGTCACTGATTGTATCCCTTACAGGAGATTAATTCATAGTACATTCTTTTTGCTAAACAACAAACTCAGAGCCACGAAACAACAAACTGAGCAAGCAAACAAGCAGTGCTATCTGACCAGGCCTTAGCCACAAGTTTTCATTAAGGTGCTATTGCTGTTAGTTCCTAAAACTTTTCTGAATATTCCCTAAACTGCATTTCTCATATAACTTAACATAAAACTATACCTGAGATCTGGGCTCTCTAGTCAATTAACAAAAATGTAGCTTATTTGTGTATCACTCGGCTGTAGATCCTCAAATCTCTGAATTGGTGACACTGTCCTTCCTTCTGGAGGGTGGCTACTTTTGTTCCTCATGGTCCATGTGTATGTTGTAAGCCCTAACGGGCAGGGCCCTCCTTACCATATTGTCTTGAATTGTATTGTGATTGTAATGTCTGCCTTATATTGTAAAGCGCTGTGCAAACTGTTGGCGCTATATACATCCTGTATAATGATAATAATAATGTTGTAAAGTAGACACCACTCCAAGCTCGCTTCCATGATGGACTACAATCTCATGTCTAGTTTACTAATTTGTATTGAAATTGTAGTCCATCACGGGCGAGCTTGGAGCGGTCGTTACTTTACAACACACACAGGGACCATGGGGAACAAAAGCAGCCACCCTCCAGCTCACTACTGCATACAATACATACATTTTGTTACAGAGCTTTTAGATCCCTTCTTGGACAAACCATTCTCAGCATGCCCCATGACATTTAAAGTAGCAGCATTAAGACATCTCTAAACAGGGTGAAGCAGCATTTACCAGTTTTTAAAAAATGTTTTTTACTGAGGCAGTACTGTCTGTTTAAATCAATCTATGAGGTTCACTTTACGCCATTAATATATCTGAATCTCTGCAGAGCATTTGAATAAGGTGCAAAAAATACTTACCTGAAAAAAATTCTCCCTTTGCGTCTCTTGATTTTCACCTTTGTTACACGACATCTGTTGAGATCATAAAAAGCTGTTAGTTTAACCATCAAGGAAACAAATCCAAAACCAGGTAGGTGTGGAAAGAAAAAAAAGACACAGAAATTCCACATACATATGCTTGTGCATATCTTAACAGAAAATACCAGATTTAGCTGCTTAGGTTGACAGAAAAAATACTGCTAAAGCATTTAGCAAGGGACATAAACTCCCCTTTGAAGGCTTTCACAAAGGCACACAAAACACTTTCCTTGGAGAACATGTTGAAAGAGGATGAACTACAAAAGTTTACATTTCTAACCTGCTTGCAGCCATGTACATGGCAAGGCTGACTCCTACAAGGATTTTAAATGATCGCTATAAACCCTCATTTATAAATGCTTACAAAAATGTTTAGCTAGCAGTGTGGGCGATGTGTTTGAGATGCACTGCATTAAATTAGAAACACAAAGCTTATTTACACACATAATAGGTTTCATTCACAAAGCCAAAATACAAGACTAAGGCTACTTTTTTCAAAAAGTGACAGTTATTTTCAGCCGAGTCCAATGAGATTGGAAAATTACAGTCACATAGACAACGTTACCATTATATAAAAGCGTTGTGAATTGAGCCTAATGCATGTAATTCCTTTATTTTCCTTTCGATTGTAAAAAAAAAAAAAGTGTACCAGAAGGTGTGTCAAAACCTAAGCCAAGGTTTATAATATTATGCAATGCAGCACTGTCTGAGGATCCTAAATGATTAAAGCAGTGCTGTAACAGCTGAGGGAAAGTTGCCAATTAAGCAGCTTATAATTATAACAGCAACTGAAGACTTCATTATCAGAAATTAAAACAGTTTTGGAGATGGACATACTAAATAGCTTCTGGTTTCCATTACTCTAATCCTGTTGACTGTTTCAAGTCAATCGTATTGGTTATTTTTTATGGCACAATTCCTCTTTGAATTATTATTGTGCCTTAATTACTGAAACAATTTAGCTAGACATACCTTATTCTAAATAGTGATCAAAATTCCTAAAACATAAGATAGAGAATAAAGCAGAAAACAGGTCATATTCATAACCCAGAAAGCCATATATTGAACCAACCGTAAGAAATATCAGAAATCAGGTGTCTGAAGAAAAAATATATTTCCTTTTTTACATGCATCAGGAGTTGCAAAAAATGCTCCATGTAAAAAAGATATTCATTTTTATATAATAAATTAGATTTAAGATTCTATTCTGTTCGACAAAATAATCAATTGAAAGCTAAATCAGCACTCAAGCACTTTTTGTAATAAAAGCAAACAGGCCTTCTAAGTGCAAATAAAACATGACATATTAGCCTGAATGTTAGAAATATTTGTGAAGGAAATATTTAATTGCCTGCGACAGGCCTTAGCTAAGAATAAAGGATTCCATGGTTTGGGTTAATCTAATGTTACATGTTGCCATGATAAAAAACCTGGTTTCTGATGTGAGTTGGTATCAATCACCTCATGGGGGATGCAGTACACCAAAATAAGCTAGGCAATTCCAGCTGCCCATCAACAAGAAAGCTGATCTAGAGAACAACTGTTAATGATCTCAAACTGAACACCAAG